CCCCCCCCCCCCCCCCGAACTCGCACTCTTCGTGTCTCTGATCTCCCCCCCCTTGTCCTCGTTACCCCTGTTTGCTCGGCCCAGGTCTTACCTGCTCAAGGCTGATGGGAAGGTGGTGGAGAGGCCGCAGCACATGATCATGCGCGTGTCGGTGGGCATCCACAAGGACGACATCGAGAAGGTGATCGAGACGTACGACCTCATGTCGCAGAGGCTCTTCACGCACGCCACCCCCACCCTGTTCAACGCTGGCACCCCCAAGCCCCAGATGTCGTCGTGCTTCCTGCTCACCATGAAGGAAGACAGCATCAACGGCATTTACGACACGCTCAAGCAGGTTTGTGGGTGTGTGCCGTCAGTTCTTTTTTTTGTATCCATGTCTCTGGTTTGCGTGTACCGCGCTACCCGACCGGACACTTGAAACCGGCGAGTCTCAGCGACGACGCAAACAGCCTTAACCTATGATGCGGTGGACATGACTACACTTGTGCCCACAACGCTTTCCAATCCTGGCTGTGTGATGCGTCGTTCTTGAAGAACATGGATGTCGCGATGTTCATTTCCAGGCTTCATCGACGCGTTTCTCGATGTATTTTCTGGTGAAATCAACTCCTAGTTGTTTTTTGTGAGCGAATTGCTTCCTCGTTCCCTTCCTCTCGCCTGTGAAGAGGAAGGTACGGACGGCGGTACCTTTTACCAGACGGTGGCACCAAGGCCTGCTCTCGAGAAAGCGTATCCATTTTTGCTGTTTTTGGTATTCTCCTGCAAGTACACAACTTGGCGCTCAGCCCCACTTCAGTATCCACAACTTTTGCGTGGTATCCCCGTGCTGAATGAGTACCCCCCGCCTTTTGCCTCGCCCTGCCGCGGCGCCGCCGCCACTGCGCTCCCCATGCCTCCCGTCCACTCTCGTGCCCGTCCTGCCAGTGCGCCCAGATCTCCAAACACGCTGGAGGGATCGGCCTGTCGATCCACCACGTGCGCGCGGCTAACTCTTACATCCGCGGGACCAACGGCAGCTCGAACGGCATCGTGCCCATGCTGCGCGTCTTCAACAACACAGCGCGCTACGTGGACCAGGTGTGTGTTTCTTTTGTGTGTGTGTTGTGTTTTTTTTGTCAACCGCACTAACCGGCTGACCAATGAAAGTAGGTGGCCTCAGTTCCCTGACAGTGGTTCTTGGATTGTCTGGCGAAAAAGTTAAAAAAAGTACAAGCTTCCAAACCTGTTCCAACATACCGATCGCCCTCTCGCTAGCTGATGACACGCGAGCGGATGGTATTGGACTACCCGGAATTCAACCTCCTACCCCTTCGCCCAATTGCTCTGCCGCCTACCTCTGGCTGGTGCCTACAGGG